TGAGTTGTTTAAATATGCAACAGCAACAACGACCGCAAATAACATTGACTAGGGTTTGGCTTAGGACGATGTCTTTTTTTCTCTTTTTTTTTTTTTTTTTTGTTTGATTTGTTGTTGCTACCTTGTAACAATTGGCAGCCGTAAGTACCCAATGAAAAAAACAACAACAAATATAACAACATCAACCACAGGCATCATCTCATTTATACTCTCGCACATGCAAACATAGCGATGCATAGTAAAAGAATTCATATATTGAACGCACACACACACACACACACACACACGTGTCGAGTCACTTATTAACACAATGTAGTGGTTATTGGCATGAAAGCTTTCATTTTCGCAGCGTTACCGTTATAAAAAACAAAATGGAAAAAATATTTAAAAAAAAAAGCACAAAACAACAAAAAAAAAAACAAATGCAGAAAAATACAGTAAAACAATACAACATAAAATGTGCATGCATGCATACAAACCATCATCACATCACACTAGTTACTTACATATGAACATACATTTAATTTTAAAAACTATACATAAAATATACAAGAAAATCCGAAAAAACAAAAAAAAGAAAAAAAAAAAATACAATTACCACGACAATGAGTTGGGCTACGTACATGGCCGTGTATAAGTGTGTAAATGAATTTGTTTTTATTTTTTATTTTGATAGTTTTTTCAATTTTAACCAATATTTTTTTTCTTCTTTTTTAGTGTACTTTATATGCATATACAGTGTATATCAGTTAGCGTGCATCGCATGTTTACGCTCGCATACATATAACAAGTGCAGCCAAAGAGAAATAAATAAAAAAAAACAAAATTGAAGAAAAAAAGACAGCAAATAAAAAAAAACTCATATACTCAAACACACACACACACATAAGCTGCACTGAGAGTAGTAACCAAGTATTCAGCTTTAGCCAGAGCAGTAAACTCTTTCGGAAATTTGAAATATTCTACGCAACATTAGCCATTTGCTTGTTTATATAAAAAAAAAAAAGAAAAAAAAAATACGATAAGAAAACAGTAAATGTTGCCGGCAACATTTTGCAACGGTAAATTCGTTTACAAGGCGAAATAACAGGAAAAAAATTGTTTTCTAGGTCAAGTTGCTGCAACCAAAGAGCTGCATGGTGGATAACAAAAACATTACAAGATAGAGATACGTATGTATGCATAACACATCTACAAGATGTATTTCATATTCAATGAGAGGCAATGTCATGAGAGTAACAAAAATGCTTTTGTTACTAATTATGATCATTTCGAATAGAGAGAATAGCATCGTCTTTTAATGGAATTCTTCTGGTAAGAGACGGCAGCCTTGTTTTTCGTTAAGATTTACCAAAAAGATTTACTTTTTATAGTTATTTTAATTTTAGTCATTATATATATCGATTTTTTTCTTAATATATTTTTAAAAAATTCCTTACAGTCATTACTATAACATCCTGGACCATTAATAGAAGAAAGCAGGCTCGGATACCACTCGGATTTGATGGACAAAATTCAAGCATCTATTGTCGGTCTCTCCAAAGAGGATAACTTCAATCGGATAATAGTAACTTAGTGTCTCTAGTTTGTATTTTGGCGGAAAAGGAAGTAAGCATCGGCGGACCCGAAAAATAATTTCTTTGACAATTTCTTCCGATTTTTAGTCGATCGCCATTAGGGAATTTCAGGTTACAAGTATTCAGAGATACAGTTGATATGAGTTGTACATAATAAGTATATGGTGGAGGAGTATAAGCCATTGACCTTCTGAGAGCTTTTTGCATTTGTGTGTATACTTACATCATGAATATTAAGCTTTCCGTTGAAAAATGGGCAGCGAGTTACGACTTTTTCACAACATCGTACTGATTTGATCTTTGAAAACCAACATCACTTTCGAAAGTTCATTATTTAAGATTGATTTGCTGTACTGCTTATCTTTAACAACTTTTAAGCAGACGGAAATGAAGACGCTATCGACATTTCCATATAACAAAATTCTTGTTAATGTTTTCGTAAATATATTTGTTATTTACCGATGGTTAGCGAGAAGTGAACAAGCAATTCGCGAATAAGCTCATGCTTCCTGCGAATTAATATTTTCCCATACATTACGGTATAGTTAATATTTCATCAGTCAAAACGCCATTTTTTATTTCATTGTTTTATTTATTTATTTATTTTTTTATTTTTATTTTTTTTTCATTACACACAATTTGAACGTCTACTTACGTCTTGCCCTCCTTCTTTGCCCAACATTTCACCTTTAAAATTCAAGCTCAAGCTCATTAATTTATAGCCCATCAATCAAGCAATTGTTTTGCTCCTATAAAGCAGAGCTAAAGGAAAAATATAAAAAAAAAAAAAATAAAAAAAACGGCAAAAACCAAAAGAGTTAAGAAACAAACGTCATCATTATGCATTTTACAAACTTGTTTGGTTGGCATTACAGCTTGAGCTAAAACAGCAACAGCAACAACAACAACAACAACAACGACAACAGCAATGAAATGTAAAGACAATCAGTCAGTCAGTAAGTCAACAAGAAGAAAAACACAGAAAAGAAAAACAATGTGAAATAAATCTATGCCACATTGATCACGTCTTTTAAACTTGCACAGCAACATATTGCAGACGATAAGCCAGTAAGCAATCGACCAGTCAAGTCAAGTCAGTCAGCCGTTCAGCCAACCAGGCAATCAGCCAACCAGACAACCAGCCATCCAGTCAAGCCAAAATCAATTTTATAAACTGAATAAACGCCAGGCAAACCGCACAAAATAAGAGATTATATGCTCGTACATACATACATACATATAAGAAGAAAACATAAAAGGTGAGATGATTTTATGTTGAATTAAAATGAAAGCAAAAAACAAAAAAAAAAACAAAACAAAAAAAACACGCGATCATCGCGCTCTCTTCTATATCAACAGAATCGAATCAAAACAATTTTGTCCCTGACTTTGACCATTAAAAAGTTAAGGCTTAAGGTGAATTTCATTGAAAGCCGAGTTTCTAGCTACATGTTGACGCAACATAAGAGCATTCTGAGAATGCAAGAATTCATGCAAATTTGAAAATTAAGAGAAATGGAAAAATTATTATGAGAGACGGAGTTCGAGAGAGTGAGAATCATGGCTTACAAACTTGGCTCGTAATAAATAAATAAATTCAACAAAATTAACCATTCTTATGTGTAAGCTTCTGCAACACAAACACACATGTATTAACACATATATTTACCTATATATTTATTTAAAATGTGTTTATATGTATCTATGTTTACAGGTATGCGTGTTTGATTTTAATTTTTTTTTTTTTTTTTTTTTTTTTCGTTGTTTTTCATATGTCTGACTGACTTTCCGTTATTGTAAGTTAGCGAATAACAAACAAACTGCACACAAACACAGCAGCAGCATTGGCAGGCAGGCAGGCAGGCAGGCAAGCAAGCAGGCAAGCAGGCAAGCAGTCAGGCAGGCACTCACAACAGCATCGTTTGAATTTCTTTTTCGTGACCGAGCGCCTGCGCACAGTTGGCTTTCTACCGTTGTCGTATACGGATTTGTAAGATTTTTTTTCGTTAAGTGTGCGCCGCGTTGTTTTTTAATAATAATAATAATTATAATAATAATAATAATAAACATTTTAATATAAAACAATAAAATAGGAACAAAAATTAATGCGTGTGTTCTCTTAATGAAAAAGAAAACGAGAAAATTTCTTTGCAAAAAAGGAGTGCTTTAAAGAAAAAGTTTCAAAAAAAAATTTGAAAAAATTTTAAATATTAGCAAGAATTTGTAAAAAAAAACCAAACGTGCAACATAGATTCTTTTTAATATAAATGAAAATTCACAAAATTCTTTGAAAAAGAAAGAAAGAAAGAAAGAAAAAAAAGGAAATATATAAAGTTGCCAAATGCCTCTACATGCATACATACATATATATATATATATATATATCTATATATATATATATTCATAATTTAAATGAATATTAAATAATATTTCAAAAACAAATTAAGATAAAATTTATTAAACAACTTAACTTTAAAAATATTAATTTAAAAAAAAAAAAAAAAAAAAAATTTTAAAATTAAAAAAATAAAACCAATACCTACATATATATCAAAACAATCAGAAAACTGTTGTAAATACTTTCACGAAACAAAATTTTTATAATCCTCATCTAATGCTAATCATTTCCCCGATAAGGTCATTACAAATTATCCCATACTGCTGCTATCCGCGCCATAGTAACCTACCTGTCTACTCTTAGTTTAACTAAATATCTCAATTAAGTTTTGTATATATATAATCTTTCCATATTTTCCATTGCCTTACATATAGGAAAGCCAGTACAGCCCCTTAAGGCCTTCTCAAAGTATTCGGATATAATTAATTAATTACTTCTTCACTCACAAATCATTTAAGACAATTTTTTTTATTTTTTCCTTCAAAAAATTCAATGCAATGATTTTCGTTTAACCTCATACTCCTTATGAACAGACAAACATATCCATATCTATATATAAATCTATATATATATATATATATATACATAAATATATATAAAATATAAACATTTGTGTTTTATTATGTGTTTGTGTATGTTTTTTGCTTTCTTGTGAGTACCTCCCCATTTTTGGCTTTTCTTTCAATTTTTAATTATGTTATGGTTTTTTATCAAAGTTTCAAAGTTTTGGGTTCTGTGATTTTTTTTCTTTTGTTTTTTTCATGTGCGGTCGCGGTCTCCTCTAAACATTTCCACTCTCGCCCACATAACTCTTTCTTATCCCTACATGCATAGAATTGCAATTGTTATGCATTTTAAGTTTTAAACTACATTTAAATACTAAACTTTTTTGTAAGCTTGATGTCTTCTCCTTCTTCTTTTCTCTTCTAATTCTTTATTTTTCATGTATGTTTATGAAAAATACAAAAAAATAAAAATTCATAAAATACATATTGGAAAAAATGCATTTAATAAAAAATATAAAAACTGTAAAACCTACCAAAAAAGGATTAATCTGCCAGAATATTTACATTTGCATCAAAAGGATTAACAGTGGATTATAAGAGACCTAACGTTCAGAATGGATATGCTCTGGAATAAACAGTCTACGAATCGTTGCTAGATAGCAATATATGGTAAGTAATTATTCTCTTTCTCTCACATGCACATGCAATTGTTTCTCTCTGCTTTGAAGCCAACTGTAAGTGAGTTTTTTTGCAAGTAACATCAATCAGTTTTTTGATTTTCTTTACAAAAGTCAGAAATAGATAGATGGATGTTACGCAAATTCAATTGAAATGCAATGCTTAGACCATTTGTCTGTACATCGGTCCGCTCGTCCGTGAATCATATGTAGTTAGCGCTCGTTTGTTTTCGCAAATTGAGATAAGAAGGCGGAAACATGCAGCACATACACACGTTCTGACTTAAACACATAGCTCCGCAGCCGAGCAATGAACTCACAAGCTTGCAAGTCTTAGTATCTAACTTTTAAATATTTAAAGGATAAGCACGAGATTATGGACGATTTTCCCGTATTTTATTTTATAAAACACCGAAAACATTTTGTAATAGATTTTTAATGATGTGAAGATAAATTCCAATGCAACTAGCAAGGACACCTACCAACTGCCTTAAGAGGGCTTTCTCCCTGTAAATGCCCAAAATATGGCCTAACTGAGCTTTGCTGAGTAGTTCATCCCGTGATATATTTTTCTTTTGGCCGCAACAGGGTCTCCATTCTCCCGTAGTCGCTTTGTGCTAACGTACCAAATTTCAAAACTTTCGTAAACATTGTTCCAGATTTTGATTTTCTTCCCCACGTTTATTATTTTTTATAGGTATTTTTATATAGACTCTTGAGGTGTCCGCGAGCATGTCTTACGTTCCCCAGCTTGGATGAAGAATTGAATTTCTAGTCCAGACATACCTTAGACCTAACTACCGAATCGAGCCCTGTTAAGGCAGCTGATAAGTGTCTTTGCTAGTTAAGTTCGAATTTATCTTCAAACACTTTGTGTATGTCCGCCCATTTATTTGGATATTTGAAAAGAGGTTTGAGAGAACCTTTTAAGGCACAATGACTTTGGCAAAAAAAAGAAAAAAAAAAAACATATTCTAATAGCGCCACCTCATTTACTTAGTCGTACCATTTACTCGATTCCCAATCTTACGAAATCAAATTTCAGTTGTAGTTTCATCCAGTCGTTCTCTAGAGAAATTTTGTTCGAGCCAACGCAACCCACTTTAATGGAAAACTTCTTATGTGTTTTAGTCAAATGTCTGTTAAAGTTAAACAATCAAGAAAATCCTACGATGTGCAAAGGTCTGCTGCCGCATAGCCGAGTAAATAAGAGTCGCTACTACCAGGCAGGTTCTCGAAGAGAGGCCGAAATGGGGCGCAATTCCAGAGGCTTATGCCGAATCGTTAAGTGTTATGACGAGCACTGATAGCAGCTACAACTAAACAAGCGTAATTGAATCCTTTTAACTCAACTGGATAGCGGTCCTTCTTAACTGCTAGACCAGACGGACATTCAACAGAATACACTTGAGATAGCATAGAAAAATTCAGAGAATAGATAAACAAGTTATCTTATACGCAAACATTTGCGCTTAAACCTTAATGATTTGATATCATGTGCACTGTCGATCAAAATTTGACTTAATTCGATCAATTTCTAAGCACACAAATTACACTTTAATTGTGAACCTTTGTTATAACTTACTTGTTGCCACTAGATGATACAGAAAAAAAAGAAGCGGAAATAGACTAATAACGTAAAGTCGCCGACCATCGAACCTAGCGAAAGAACAAAATCTATTGTAGAAAAACTTGATATTTCGAATAATAATAATAAATATTTTTTAAAGAAAAAGCTCACACACTTAGTCAAACAGAAATAACAAATAGTTGCACTAATTAATTTTCTCTCTCTTTTAGTGTCCATTAACGCGGCGTATATTAAATTTATTGCTGTTTTAGCACTAGTATGAAAAATTTGTGAGCTACAGATGTTTTGGATCGCTTTGCCATTCTGAATCATTGTCGCCTGCATGCCTGCTAGCAAGCAAAGTTTGAACAAGAAATTTCAAATTTTGGTTAATTATCTCACCGGGGCGATCAAAACCGTTTTTCAATGTGAATATCCAAATTCTCGTAGGATGGGAGGAGTACGTTACAATTTTTGTCGCCTGAGGTGTTTGTAGTTTTTTGCACTAACCGAGTGCAAAATAATTTTTACTATCGTGCAACAATAGAAAGACGAACAGAGGACAAAGTTTTTTCAGGAACTGAACTTAAAGAAATTTACTGTCCTGGATGGAGACCATCCTTCGGTGGTTGCAATAGAAGGAATGGCAGTGGAATAATAATATTTGAGAAGAGCCGTAAGCACATGTTTAAGTAGTAGAAAAAAATTTTAGAAAAATATTAAAGGAAGTCTCGTTAGGCATCTTCAATTAAAGGTGTCTTGCGGTGGAATTTCCGTCATAAAAAAAATTAAAGGTTAATAATATTGTCACGAAACTCCCACATTTCATAAAATGAGTGTACGTGAAGACTGCCCGCATTTCTAAGAAGCCTATATCTCGAAATGGTTAAACAAAATACAGATTCAAGATACTATATCTGCCGACACAACTAGCGACTTGCGGAAAGTTTACTTTCGCAGATCATATCCAGGTGAAAATGGATTAGCATGAACAAGTCCCAGTGAAATTTGGTACTGGTATTGGTAACTTGCTCGCAAAGTCAACCGACTCGGGAGAGTTGGATCGAAATAGGCAAACGGACAAGAGCAGAAAAACTTTCTGTGAATAGTCCGCACACAAATGCTCCTAGGAATGGTAAATGAAACTTATGAAAAAGATCAAAATTCGGGGCCAAGGCCTTTAATCGCAAAAGGAGTCGGATAGGTAAAATCACAAAAGGGCGATATTATTATAAGTTCCATAGCAAAAAGTTAATAATATTTTAATAAGTTCAATGACCATTTGTTAAACTTTTACTTGATGTAAGTCCATCCGAAAATGCGCCGATTAGGTTAAATTTCATGCTACTTCTTGCACATTTACAACGGGAAGGCATTGAAAATTCGTTTCAACTCTCATATTACATTTGTTTATTTCGCACTGCCTTTCTTCAACAGTAATTTATAAAATTGCTTTTGCCAATATATAACAATAAATAATACATAGTAGACGAAATGAATATAATAATGAAACATTTTTTTGTTTTTTTTTTTTTCTGTACACATATAATTAAATACATGTGACCCCAAAAGTTCCAGTCAATTTTTGGCACAAGCTTTACATTAAACATAAATCAAAAGAATATTTTCGAAATAAAAGTTCGGTGACCTTTCGTATCTTTCACTAATAGGCGAGTGCGGCCATTAACTCGGTTTTTGTTATACGTAAAAGAAGGAAATTTGTATTTAAAAAATTCTAAAAACCTCGGATCATAATACAATGATTTCGTACATAGTATGAAAAAGAAACTATTCGTTAATATATAAATCATTCCATTGTACGGCAGTACGTGCGGAGGAAGCAAGGAAACGATGATGTAGAAGTAGCTGAAAAGTGCCAGAAACAAATTCAATGGAATTAAGTCTTGTGACCATCTAATCAAATGTCTCGGGAAAGTTCGTTGCAAAACTCTCCCATATTGGTGTAGTTTCAATTTTTCTATAACATTTGTTTCTTCCCGTAGTCTTAGACTTTGTTTTTTCTGCTAAATTAATAACAATCGTAGTGCAATGTTGCCCGTCGTTTGGTCGAAGCTGTTTGCCGGTATTACAGACAGACAACTTTTGCTTTTTACATCAAGATAAGGTACTTTCTCGCATTGCCTGGATTTTCAAAGTATTTATAATTAACTTATATCCTCCCGCAACCGTCCTTTTCATTTAGTTTAGCGTCATCTGTCTTCTGTCAACTCTCGGAACTTGAAACCCGTCTCTTGACGTCATTTGGTTCGGGTGAAGAAAAAAAGTGGACTCGAAATAGGCATTTCTCTAGATGAGAGTAGATCTAAAATCGTTATTCGCTAAACTACTGTAGACATGGGCAGGCAGTTTGACAAAAATGTCAGTTGACGTGGCCAACTTAATGTACAAAAAATCTCAGACTTGAAAAGATCTTCTTATTTCAGTTGTGAGCTATTTCATGGAGACTTATTTTCACCGCTACACAGTAGAATCACATGAAGCATTAAAAAACAAAAGAGTTTCTGCTCCCCAAAGCGGGAAAAGAAGCACGCTTCAGCAAAGTATTTTTTAGGTCGCACATGATATAATCTTCATCGACTACCTTAAAATGAGTGAGACGAGAACCTACACAGATGATTCAACAGTTTTGGATCGAATAAATAGCAAATTAAAAAACAGGGGTAGGAGAAGAGAAGACTGCATATGAAGAAGAAAAGTTTACATACTCTCTCTTCTACAAAATATGGCGCAGACAAAATCATACAAAGTATGAATTGCTCACGCAACCACCGTATCGTACAGATTTAATTCTTAGCAGTTAATGTCTATTTGGAAGTCACGAAAGGTAGTTGTCTGCTGAGCGTCTTCCATTGCACTATTTCGAACTCTTGCAGAAGCCTCTTTTGGACATTTCGGTGCATCGCCTTAGTTGAGAGAGATTTGCTTTTCGTTGGATTCTATGGATAGCTATGACGTGAATATGTGAGGACGAATCTTTATAATAAAATACGAGTGATGAAATTTTATGGCATTTATGAAGACTTATTATTTTGATAAGAAGCGATCCACGCGATTGTCCACACTCATTGCGTAAATCACATTCTGCCGACAATTATTAAAAAAGAAAATTCGTTTTTAAAACTTTGTATTTTCCACGCACTTCCAGTCGCACTTCGATCCCATCCATTCTTAATATGTTTTTTTCTTATACCGAAACATATCAGTCCCACAAATTTTCCCAAAACGTATTCGAAATTGTGCGAAGAAGTTTAAACACATAAGATGGACAAGCAGAGAAGCAAACGGGGTCTATCTCAAGTCGAGCATAGATCCGTCACTTTCCGCAAGTAATGTAGTGCAATATAAACATACCTCTATAGGGGCCTTGTGTATTTTACTCCAGAAAATCCTGACACGTTCAG